TAGACTCTCGAATTGCTTTGTTAATTCAAAATCGTATGGCGTTAGATGAGGTATGTTACTACTAAATAATAATAAATAATAATTCGATTCTTTAATTTCATATTCCTCATATCATTCAATATTTTTTTCGTATTTGTTAAATAAATGCGTATGAATAACAGAAACAAGAGGTGGAAAGTCATCTTGAAGACATTGAGCCAAGCGATGGAATTTTTCCAGATGATCGTAAATTACAACCATACGGCAATTTATTTTTTCTCCTTCAGACAGAACCACGCCATATTGCTAATCTATGTCGTCATGTTAGTCTCACCGAAATTGATACTTTATTACAAACTGTAATGTTTACGCTGTATGGGAATCAATATGAGAGTAGAGAAGAGCATTTACTGTTGACCATGTTCCAGGTGTGTAATTTTTAAAATACTTTTCAATCCAAATAATTTCAGATTTCTTTAATATTTTTATTAATTTATTTTATAAAAGTCGGTGCTTTCTAATCAATTTGAACAAATAAACGACTTCAATTCGCTACTTCGTGCAAATACCCCTGTCTCTCGCATGATGACAACATACACCCGTCGAGGACCTGGTCAGAGTTATTTAAAGTCGGTATTATCAGAGAGAATTAACAATCTGATAGAACACAAAGATTTAAACCTTGAAATTAATCCTCTAAAAGTACGCTTTTGAAAATTTCTTCATGCATTTATCTTGTCATTTAAAGTTTTAACCAATTTATTTATTTATTATTTTTATAGGTTTATGAACAAATGATAAAGAAACTTGAAGAAGAAAATAAATCATTACCTGAAAATCTTCCTCGCAGTGTAACGTCAGAAGTTGCTGCTGCGAATCCTGATGTTCAAGCTATTATAGCTCCTCGAATAAAAATGTTAATGGAGATTGCAAATTCTTTCCTCCAAACAATAATAGACTCTATAGATCAGACTCCTTATGGTATTCGATGGATTTGCAAACAAATTCGGTCGTTAACAAAAGTAGATATTCAATTAATTTATTCGATGTCTGTTTTTTATTTATTACTTTAGCCGATTGTTTTATTATTATTATTAATATTATTATCATTATTATTATTCATATAGAGAAAATATGTTGATTGTTCTGAATATGCCATCTGCACGTTAATTGGTGGATTTTTCTTCCTCCGATTCGTGAATCCAGCGATCGTTACTCCACAAGCATATATGCTAGTAGAAGGTATACCGGGAAA